CAGTGCGGCGCCGGGAGCCACCTGCCCGCCGCCCGGACCAGGTACATTCCGTGTACGTCACGCCCGGGGTACACCTGCCAACGCAGGGCGCCCTGGAGCCCCTAGAAGAGGATGGCCAGCCACCTGGGGCCAAGCGAAGGTACTCGGACCCCCCAAAGTACTGCCTGCCCCCCGCCTCGGGCCAGGCCAATGGCTGAGGGCCACAGCTGACAAAGTCTGCATGTCCGAGGACGGCCCCTGCACTGGAGCTGGGCGCCAGAGCTGCAGAGCTAGTGTTCGGCCCTCAGAGAAGGATCCAGAATCAAAAGCTCAAGAGCGACGTGAGGTGGGCACCGGCCCCAAGTTCAGAGTCAAGGCAGGGAGAGGCCGGCTGGAGCCAGGCCCCCCTCGCACCCAGCCCCCAAATCACCGACGCACCTGCGGGGAGCGCCACATCTCCGCCTGCGGCCTCACATCTCCCCACTCCCCTTTTGTACGTTTAACCGTTTCTTTGTACGTGGTTTACGTAACTTTAAACTGTAACAGCCTTAATGGAAGACCAAATGGTTTTTTATATGTGTATGTACAAAGTTTTCTATTAACGCTGCCCATCTCCCTTATAACCTGGACTTGAGCTGTCAGGGCAGAGGCCACTAGGCCCCTGTGCGTCTGAGGCTCAGACCCCTGCTATGGTTGGCTTGGGGTGGCCAGTGGGCTGGGACCCTCCATGAGAGTTTTGGACACTTGGGCCACCTGACCCGTGCCCGTCTGACACATGTCTCCGGGGGACAGCCACCTGGCCAATGTGCATGTGAGGACGTGCTGGAACCTTCCATGGGGGTCTAGGCTATTGGCTGGAGCCAGGACATGAGTCAGGGGCACCACAGACCTCACATGCCAGGGAGACTTGAATGTGGCTGTCACTCTTCCGGACGCCAAGGGCTGCAGGAGGCTGCCTGCTCTTGGCACTACCCACCCCGTGTGACAGAACAGGAGCCAGTGACTCAGGACTGCTCACGGACCAGGAGGGCAATGCCTGAAGTCAGACCTCCCTACAGGTCAACAGGGACAACCTGGGGATCTCTGGAGCAGGGCCCTCCTCTCTCAGGCTTGGTCCACTCCCCCAGACACCTGGACGCATGGCCACAAATCTGGGACAAAGGGCCCTCCGCACGGCGTGAAATAAAAAGTGCCTGAGAAGTGTGCGCCTGGGATGCCTGCTCATGTGGGATCGGGCTTGGAAGAGCAGGGCCGGGGGATGGGGGTCTGCCCTGTGGCCTCAGCCAAGAAGGGTGCAGGGTATGGTGGAACACTGTCCTCAAAGATCTGTCTTGACCCTCCAGCAAATGGAGCTCCCAGCAGAGCCTCACTTGGCGAGGAGCACCTGCTGTCCTGGGAGCCTCTCTGGCCTCCCTGTTTCAATGCCCAGTCTCTGGAGCCTAAATGTCAGCTGCAGCCCCCACCCATCCATCAGAGGTAGCCAGTTCCCTGTGGGCCCAGCAGGACAGGAACAGATGGGCTCCCAGGCTGCCATCAGATGGGAGTTGTGGGCACTGGCTGGCTGGTGTTGGTTGGGGGGCCCTGAAGAACCCAAGTCCAGACTGCACATGCCAGAGGTTGAGGGGCTTGTCCAAGGCCACACAGCTGGGAGGGGCATGGCTGGGATTTAGACTCTGCCCTGCCAGCCT